GATGCTTCTTCGCAGTGGGTACTTGTGACGTCAGGCCACTATAGGTGCACGCCCTGGGTAGAGAGGGGTGCACCGGAAGGCTATTACGGCAGTGTATGCCGTGGATACATGCGGAATGTATGATTGGTGATGAGAGCATGCTGATGTTGCATTCGGCTGAGGTGGCACTACATTGCGTTGTGGGTGGTACCGAGGTCAAGACCGGTCATCAAATGCACGTTCAGCTCAATTGGTGAGAAATCTGTGGTTGGGGGCAGCTATCTCCAGGTATGTTGTTCCCTTACCTTATGTACTCTCTCAATCTTTTCTTACCGTGAGGAAGTGAGTCCAACTTGAGAGTCCTCTCTTTTGGTGAGGGCCTTGAGAGACGACAATCTTCTCGGAAGCATCTGGAAGGAGAAAAGGGCGGTGCCTCTGAAGGGCCCTGGTCGAAGCACTGGGTCACGGTCTCCATGCCAACCCAATGGGAGTAGGTCACGCATGCGATGGCTGATGTCCATTAAGGCACTTTGCTGCGCCAAATAGAAGTTGCTCCGGGTGTGCCAGCCCATGACAGACGCTTACCAGACCATCTATAAATATTTCTGGTTGGAAGTTCATTGTGAATCTTGCTGTGATCATCGTCCTGTCTGCGACGTTAAAGAATTCCTGAAGTGATGGGGGAGCTCTATAAATACCTCCTGATCAGCCAGATCACATGGACAGGAAGGCTCGTCGCCGTACGAGGGTAAATAAGAGTGGTTGGGTTGGCTTGCTCGGTGACAACTTGGGCACAGGGGTGGGCCGATTCACACACGAAGACACTGCTCGCTCAAAGATGCTGTTCGGTATGTTGGACGGAGGGGAGGGTTGGTTCCAATTGGTGCTCAACTGAATACACAACTATACCCACTCATCATACATCTACTACATTGTCTTTTTGTACCTTTGATTAGTTGGTTGACGGACTGCTAACCTCACATACAGAATTAGTGTAGGACTGTAGTATGCTACCATAGCCAGTTCTAACCAATGCTGCTGTAAGTGAACCATTCAGGGTGCATCTAGACTATGTAGACAATCTGTGTGAATGTTATAGACATGCCACTTGATTCGGTATAGTAGGATACTCGCCGGACACAACTATTGTTAGAAAATTAGGTGTCGGTCAGATACATGCTGTGGTAGGATTCCATTAGGGGATTCTAGTGCAGAAACTATCGGCCTAACTAATAAGTGGATCAGATCATGTTGATGATAGAGCTGACAATAGGAGACTTACACGTTCGGAAGCATTAAGGGTTCCGCACGTGTTCAGGACCTTGGATGAGGGAGAAGAAAGACGGCTTCGTGTCGAACGTAGAGCCCGTGCTCTAGCAACAGGACTACAGGAAGCAAACACAGTAGCAAGAGAGCGGGCAACAGCAGCCAGAGCAGCAGCAATGGCTAACGGTACCAGCTCTGCTGCGTCATCGTCTGCGTCCTCGTCAGGGACTAGTGGGAATCAGTTAGGAATGTCACTGAGTTCCACGAGTTCCTCGGGCACTTCCGGTTCAACAGGGTCTAGACAGTCTTCTAGTCAAATGGCGGGCTCTCAGTTCACCCCGTTGACCCCACGTGAGAGGGAGCTCAGAGAGATCCAGCAGGTCGAGAGGCTCCGCCAGCAGTTAGAAAGAGAGATAAAAAGTAGAGCGGCCAATCTCGATACGTTAGAGGCTGACAAGGCTGCGTTAGAGGGATTGGACGAAACAGGTTTGTATGACCTCCTGAAAGTGTTGAAGAACAATATGTTGTCACTTCATGCGCACGTAGACAGCAGGTTGGACTTCATGTAGAGCACTTTGGACCAGATCCTGGATGCATTGACAAAGCCAGGATTCCGACCACCAGCACAATCGTCGTTGCCATTATCGGCAATGTCAAGCCCCTTTCCAGTTCAAGCTGGTACCCAGCCTAGTGGTACGTTTGCAGCAGTCTCACAGACTGTTGCATCTTCTTCTTCGGGTCCAGCGGTGGTTGCTACACCACCGCAACAACCTGTCTCTCAACAGGGACAGTAGCAAGGTCAGTGGTACCCCAAGACCCCAATGAAACCGCCTCTTGCCTTCTCAGGCGAGAGGAAGGACGAGGAACTCAACACATGGTTGAGGACGGTTCCGGTTTGGGTGAAGGCCAAAAGGACCTTGCCAGAGGATGAAGTGGTAACCGCGGCATCTTACCTAGAGGGTAAGGCAGCCAAATGGTTAGATGGGGTAGTTGTGAAAGCCGGGTATGGGCGACGCATGGCGGACTGGGCCAAGTCTTTGATAATAGACCAGTTCATGGAGATGGTAGAAGCTCGATGGCATAACCCACAGGAGGCGCAAAGGGCCACTGATGCCATAAATAAACTAGACCAGCGCAAGTTCTAGTCAGTTAGAGAGCTTACGACTACCATTGAGAGCCTGATCCTCGTCCCGGGCATCAACTACAGTGACCAGTTCCTGTTAACTACTTTCATTAGATGTCTTCCAGAGAACATCAGGAACTTACTAGCCAGTGAGGCACGCACCGAGTACCACTCATTTGAGACATTGTCTAGGAAGGCTTTAGATTTGGAGGCCACGCTAGGCAATGCTCAACCCACCTCAGGAAATGACTCAATGAAGAAGAAGAGTCCTGAAGAGTGGAAGAAGAAGGGGGCAAAGTTGATGATGGTGGAGTCTGATGGGACTCAAACAGAGATCAACGAGCTCTCTGACCTGGTGGACTACACAGAGTTTGACGGCAAGGAGATAGCTGAGGGTAGCATCCTCGCCACGGTAGTAAGGACTAAGGCAGTTGGCCGAGGGAAGGGCCAACCTAGGAGTCAAGGGAAGGCCGCCTCCAATCAGACCAAACACGCTGAGTGGGTTAAGGCAGGTCTTGATCAAGACGTGTGGCATGACCGCCGAATGCGTGGCGCTTGTATCAACTGCGGAGAATACGGACACACGCAGTGGAAGTGTCAGAACGCTAAGGTTACGCAAAAGATTGCTCCAAAGATGGGGGCATCTTATTCCCAGACTTCTAGCTCGGGAAACGCGTAGGGTCAGTAGAAGTAGTAGCGGCTTCTACTCAAGATGAAGTGGGCATGATACCCTCCTCACTTCATGACAAGGCTGAAGCTAATGACTCCTTAGTCACCCCGCAGACACATCTAGACCAAACTATGCTCTGTACGTGGGATGTGTCTGAAGCCTTAGAAGACTTGGAAGGCGAGTGGTCAAGCAAGGACCCTCGCGAGTCTTGGGTGGCGCTGAAGAAAGGTCCTAGAGGGGAACATTTCGTAGTGGAAGTGGATGTAGGAGGTCGCAAATGTGGAGCCTTCATAGACATCGGATCCACATGGAATTACATAAGTCGCGACTGTTTGGAAAGGCTGCACCTATAGGAATGGGTACGACACCTTAGTAGACCAGTAGCATCTACTTTGGCCAACAAGGAGCGCATGATTGTAACAGACTACATCAAGGACGTAGTCTGTACCTTCTCCTATGGAGGGGGTGAGCTTAACCATAAGATCTCGTTTTTGGTTCGCGACGACTTGCCATTCGATATGTTGTTAGACATGTACTACCTCGAAGTTGCTAAGCCCCAGTTCGACTGGGATAAGAAGGTGCTCAAACACAAGTTGCCCGATGGCCAAACTGTCAGATTGACCAAGTTCAAGGCCAGTAGTATTATAGATATCTATGGCTGCTTGTGCGCATCCGCATTCTACAACTATTACAAGCAAAACGAAGAGGAGGGTATGTACCTTGTTTATGTCTCTGAGAAGGGGGAGGTCGTTAAAACACCCCCAGAGATAGAATGCGTCGTTGCTGATCTGTTCGAGGAGCCCTCAGGAGTTGTCKATAGGGAAGTCGTCCACGCTATAGAAATCATTCCAGGGAGTAAGACCCCAAAGGGAAGGATCTATAGGATGGCCCCTGCCGAGTTAGGTGAACTTCGGAAGCAACTAAAGGAGCTGACAGAGAAGGGATGGATTCGGCCTAGTACTTCCCCTTACGAATCACCCGTGCTATTCGTACCAAAGAAGGGGGGTACTCTGAGGATGTGCATTGACTATAGAGGCCTCAATGCCATCACTGTGAAGAACGCAGAGCCTCTACCTCGCATAGACGACCTATTGGATAGGGTGCAGGGATGCAAGTACTATACAAAGATAGACTTGAAATCCGGATATCACCAGATCGCAATAAGACCTGAGGACCAACACAAGAAAACTTTTCAGACTCGTTATGGTCTGTATGAGTTTGTAGTGATGCCTTTTGGTTTTTGTAATGCGCCGGGTACATTCCAGCACGCTATGAATCGGATCTTCCGTGACCATTTAGATAAGTTTGTCATAGTCTATCTAGACGACATTCTGATCTTTAGCAAGTCTGCCGAGGAGCATGCACATCATGTTGAGACAATTTTCTCACTCCTGCGACAGCACAAGTATAAGGTCAACTTAGAGAAGTGCGAGTTTGGCCGCACTAAGATACTATACTTGGGTCATGAAGTATCCGCGGAGGGAATTAGGTCGGAAGATGCGAAGGTGGCTAGTATTAGAGACTGGTCACGACCTCAGGCAGTCACTGAGGTCAGGTCATTCTTAGGAATGTGCGGCTACTATAGAAACTTCGTTAAGAACTATTCTACAGTCGCCTCTCCTTTGACTGATCTAACTCGACTTGACACACCGTGGGACTGGAGTGATGAGTGCGAGGGTGCTTTCAAGAGATTGRAGCATGCACTCATGAATCATGAAGTTCTCATGGTTCCCGATCAGCAGAAGCCATTCATAGTGACCACTGACGCAAGCCAATACGGCATTTGCGCAGTGCTGGCTCAGCAGGATGGGAAAAAGTTGAGGCCGATTGAGTACATGAGTAAGAAAATGCCATCGAAGAAGTTGGCTAAGTCCACCTACGAAAGGAAAATCTATGCTCTCTACAAGGCACTTGTCTATTGGAGACACTTCCTTTTGGGAAGGTTCTTCTATCTGAGGACTGATCATCAGACCCTCAAATGGATCAAGACTCAACCGGCTCTTTCTGATGCACTCAAGCGATGGATTGAGGTCATAGACCAATACGACTTCAAGCTCGAGTACCTGAAGGGAGAGTACAACAAGGTTGCAGACGCGCTATCCCGTAAAGCAGACTACCTAGGTGCGCTAGTTTCTGAATTTGGCGTATCTAATGAAGTAACTCAATCATTGGTGGGAACCTATCAGGAAGACTCTGTCACAATGGACATCATCCGCAAACTTCAGGCAAAAGACAAGGTCACAGAAAGTGAGTTTGTAATGGTGGATGGGCTAATCTATCTTGATAAGGCCGGAGTAAAGAGATTGGTAGTTCCATCTAGTGAACAGTTGCGTAATTTATTTTAAGGCGAATGTCATGACGCAACAGGACACTTTGGCTACAAGAAGACGAGTGCTAACTTAGTACAGCGATTTTGGTGGCCCAGAATGTTAGATGACGTAAAAAAGTATGTTGAGACATGTCAGGTCTGTCAGCGGGACAAGGCGCGAACTCAAGCACCGCTTAGGTTATTGAAGCCTTTACCTATTCCTGATGGTCCAAGATTGAGTGTTTCCATGGATTTCATGGACACTCTTGTGACCAGCAAGAGTGGTAAGAGGCACATTTTCGTCATCATTGACCGATTCACCAAGTACGCTAGACTAATACCAATGCCAGAGACAGCCAGGACAGAATACGTCATCAAGTTGTTCAAGGACAACTGGGTAAGGGACTTTGGTTTACCAAAGACCATCATTAGTGACCGAGACGTCCGATTCACAAGTGAGCTGTGGAAGAAGACTGCGGAACAGATGGGCAGTCAACTTCAAATGACTTCAGGGAATCATCCTGAAGCCAACGGACAGGCCGAACAAATGAATAGAGTTGTAGAGCACTTGCTGAGGCATTATATCAAGCCCAGCCACGATGACTGGGATGAGCAGTTACCTCTCATCGCCAGCCTATACAACAATGCTATACATAGCAGTACCGGCGTTAGTCCTAACCAGCTGCACTTAGGATGGAAGTCTAGATCAGCATTAGACTTCCTCCTACCTGAAAACCGACCTGCTGCAACTCCAGGCACACTTGAATACGGTGTGCAATATGAGAAATTGCTGCAAGATGTTGTTGAACATATGAAGAAGGCTCAGCAACTTGAAGCCATGATCGCTTCTGAGAATCAACATCGCAGACAGTCCACATTTCAGGTAGGGGAAMKTGTCTGGGTCAAGGCTAGTGAGTTAGGACAGGAATTCGGAATATCTCGCAAACTAATGCCTCAATACTTTGGTCCATGGGAAGTCTTGGATGTAGTGGGAGATGAAATGGATGGTCCTACGTACGTCATTCGTGTCCCTTGACACCTACACACTCACCCACTCTTTCATGCCTCAAAGCTTGCACCTTTCGCTGAGACTGATCAATTCCCTTCCAGGAGATCGATGCTGCCCCCAACCATGGATGGACAAGTCGACATCGATGATATTGTGGATCACAGGGATATGCCTGTTCCGAAGCCGCTGGGTCGTGGAAGACCTCCTAAACCCGAGAGGGAGTACCGGATCAGATTCAGGCATCATACGGATCCGAAAGAAGATCGGTGGTTTACCCGGGAGGAACTGATGGAAACAGCTCCTCAGGTGGTGGCAGACTATGAACGGAAGCTAAAAGGGAAGGCACCTGCGAAGTAAGCATCTCAGCGGACTTTCGAAGCTAAGGGGGATGGAATGTGAAGATTGAGCCCTCAAGTAGGGGCCTTGCCATGATGAACATGTTCTGGGCTAAGGCCCCAACAAGCCTCGTGCCCGCCCTAAGTGAAGGCGGGCCAGCAAATCAACAAGAGCCCTTTGTGCCAACATTTCACGAAGTGGGGTCCATACAGTTGCAGCAYGYCAGTTGGTTGGAGTGCACCGAGTCTCGGATTTCAGCAAATGCTGAAATGCCCAGGGCCTCTGAGTTAGTTAGGCCCTGGGCTGTGAATGTGAGGCCGACAATGCATGCTGGGTATAGAGGCCGAAAATGCCAAAGGGAAATCGGCCCACTGTCTGAATCTGGCCGCAGRCCCTGATGAAAGAGGTGCAACTGCATTGCTCCRGGGCCCAACTGTATCGGGCTGAGTTCWGCCTYTGGGTCCCGGTCACARGYTGAAGGGAGGCCGCCCACACGCTGCACTGGCATATAGGCAAGCAGGGCGAGTGGGCAGGGATCTTGGCCAATGCTGGCACTTGCGGGCACGCTGCGTGGATGCACGTGTGTTGCGCTGTGCAAAGCAGCGCTGCGCTAAGAGCAAGCAGGCCAGCGCTAGGCGGTAGGGCGCTGCCTGCATGCAAGGCACTGGCGGCCATAGCCGGGCCACATGAGGGTGTAAGAGAGGTGAAGGGCGAAGGTGGTCTTCGGAGGTGAAGGGCGCTGTGTGGGTAACAAGGGAGAGTGTGGGTCAGAGGACACGTACCTGGTGGAGGTGGAGGTCGGCATTGGTGTTGACATCATCACTCGCTGGTAGTCAAGTTGTCTGGTTGCTTTTCATTGCTGTAGTTGTAGGATAGGCTGTAGAGTAGATAGGGCGYCTGGCGCCATTCACAAGAGAGAGCTRCATYTGGGTTATGCTGTTGGTGTTGCCCTGTTGRGCATGGACATTGACTCMCGATTCTTCTGTATCATTCTCAATTGGATGGTTACTCGGTTCCATGTGCTATCTGCTTTGGCTTTGACTACTTGGACTTCAGTGTGATTTTGCATTCTGGATTTCTGTGCTTC